TTCCCTGTGTGGAGAAAATGCCAGCAAAAGGAAAAAGCAGAGCAGCATCCCAATTCCTGACCATCCTCCTGGCTTCTTCTGGATTGGGAGTGAAGGTTTAACAGAATCCCCTAAATTTCCCCCAGGCTTTCCTCCAGAACTGTTTGTACAAACTGCATTGACTCGAATGGGCCAGGGGAGCTGGGCCACTTTTTGTAACTATTATTTAGAGTATGTGTGTGAAACATTTTTCTGCCCAAATGCATTTTTTTCCCCCTCCTTCACAATGCCATTGTGGTAGGTCTGCAGCATTTGGATATAGGTTACACACAGCATTATACATACACCTTTTATGATCCTCTTCTCACCAGAAGCTGCAATCAGCACCATTTCTCTGCCAAAAATGTCATTTTTCAGGACATGCATGATGCCATAAATACACACAACTTAAATCCTGGTGAAGGTACTTAGCTGTCATATTACCAGCTTATTAATTACTTTTTTTTTCTTTAAATACCAAATGAATTGGAGCAAAACAGGTGATTAAGAATGTGTGTTTTAAAAACATCACTTGAAAAGCCATTAAAATTTGACCTTGGAAAGAGGTATTGGAGAATAAATGTGTTCTGCTATTAATTACGCAGAAATGGGAAATATTGCATGGGAAATATGAAGAATAAGTTTCTGTAATTATTTTTAACAGAAAAATAACAAGCCCTTATAAAGTAGTGTCCCCTCCCAGGAGATGTCCTGCCTGACTCTGCTGGAGATGTGCCACTGGGACCTGCTGTGCTCACAGCTGCCTTTGGAACTTGTGAAAGGCAAAGAAGAGCCCTTTCTCTTCCCACCTTTCCTGATTTAAGGGAATTTCTCATCAAAGTTAAAGGAGTTTGGTGTCACAAATGATTTTTCTGCCAAGGAACAGTGGATTATTATTTGCCCCTTCTGGTATTTGCTTCATGCCCAGCCCAAGGGTCAGTGACAGAGACCATCCACCTTGCTCTCCATGGACAAGCCTCTGTGCTGATCATCTCCCCCAGTGCAAAGATACAAGGTGCAGCCTCAGGCTGCTTTACTGGACAAGGTTTGGGGCCACCCACCTCTGAGGGATTTGAGTGCCACCTTCACATATTTAGCATCACCTTTCCTCAGCAAGGAACCTTTTGCAAGCTCAGGGTGGGCCCACTGCTGTCATTCACAAACAGAACATGCTCGCCCTGCAAGAGGTAAGACAGAGAAACCTCATATGTAAAATTCTTCTTCACTAGCTGCTGAAGCTGGGCAAACACTGCCAGGACCACTCAGAGAACCCAGGGTTGCTCTTGAGGACTGTTTGGGCTGCTTGGGGACAGCTGCTGACATGAGTGAGCTGGATGACCATTCAGAGAGAGAAAGCAGTGAGCCATCAGCTGACTCAAAGGTATTGCACGTGGCTGAGCCAGGCCTTCCCCTGGTGGCCTCCTGTTTGGCCCTCCTGCCAGTTTGTTTCTGTGGGGGAAGAGAGGCTCCCAAGTCGTTGCAAAATCCATTAAGGGCAGAGTATGCAGAGACCACTGAGAGGTCTGAGAAGGACAGCTTCATCCCCGTGTCCACGTCTGTCTCCTGGGCACCCTCCAAGTCATCAACATTAAGCCTGGGGTTGCATCTCCACGTTTTTAAGCATCTTGCAGGTGACTTAGTACTTAAAAACTGAGATGGTTCACCAAAACCAAATGTCTCTGAGGTGGAGGAGGAGTTCCCCGTGGGCAAACAGAACAGAGACTTGCTGCGTTGAAATGACCAGGAGGTGCTGGAGGCACTGCTGGATCTGCCTGTGAGGTCTCCTGGATCACCATGTCTCAAGTCCTGCTGGGAGAAACCAAGATAGTGGCCCAGGCCATTGGTGTGGTGTCCTTTGTTCTGACCCCCTTCTCTCAGCTGCTCAGGGACAGGCCGGTGGCTCTGAGGAGAGGCTGGCAGAGCTGTGAAGGGGGAATCTGCTGACACAGATGGATGGGGTTGCTTGTTCTGCTTTGCAGGCTTCCTACACCAACTGCCTGTTTGCTGCAGCCAGGAGAGGGAGAGAAGAAGATCATTTAATACAGACTTGGCATCCTTACAACCATAAGTCTCCGCTGCTGAGTTGTTACTGCAAATAATTATGAAACAGGCTTTACACAGAATGCTTGCAGCAAATGTTTCACTTCAATAACAAAGGGAAAGCACCCTGCCAAAGTCCCAAATATTTACATAGGAAGCCTTGAAGACAAGAAGAAGAAATGGAGGAGCCCTGCCTTCCGGGCTGAGTTACGTCAGCTTGAGAGTCTCACTTCCTACTGACTCGCTCAGACTCAGTCACATTTTGTCTTTCAACATCACTGTTTCAGTGGACAGCTGAGGAAAAGAAATTAAATGGGTGATGTATGTTAGCATCCTTACCATTTCTCATGTTTTCCTTCTCGTGTGTTTTTACCTTTTCCTCTGAAATGTCAAAGAGCCTTTGGCGAGCAACCTCGTATTCGTCATCTCCACAGGAATCTACTATTTCTTTCAACTCTTTCCCATTTTCTTTCCCATCTGGTTAGCTCAGCACTGTGTTCTAGAAACCATTTGCTCTATTAACTACCTCCTAGTAACTTTAAGCACAGCTTTAAACTTCTGATTTGCCTGCAGACACCTAGACTGAAGGCCTAACCTGACGGTTGTGATCTGAGCTGAGACCTGGCTCTCATCCCTAGGGCAGGATTCAGCTGTTGACTTGGCAGACCCTTGAGCATCTGCACAGTTGTGACAAATGGGGAGCCAATGTCCTTCTCAAGAAGCAGCTGGAGGCTGGTGGCCTTCCTATGGGATTAGACACTGATGTCCTAGTAACTGAACTGAGATTCTAGGGTTTGAGCAATCATAAGGTTTTCCACCATCCCACTCATCTCAGGAAGGCTTTGAGGAGTTTGCATTTTAAAAAGTTTAATTTAAAACCTTACTGGAATTTCTCATGGAATGTGCTCAATTTCTGTCCCCAAATGGACAGGAACTACTTGGACAAAGTGCAAGATCATACCCTTGCAAGTAAACCATGATCTCAGCCATGGGACTTGTCAGCTGGACACGACAGAGGAGGAAGAACCAGGTACCTTGGTCACTGGATGCTATTAAAGTGACAAGGCTTTGACAAACCTGATTCTGGGCAGTGTCAAGTGAGCTAAGGAAGCATTAATGCACTATGGACAACACTGTGGCCTCATCCAGAATGCTGCACGTGACTGTATGAAAAAGAAAAAGCCCAAACTGGAAAAGATGAAGCCAGAAGAGAACACGAAACAAGGTGAACAATCCATTAAAAAAAACCCTGAATCACAAACTAATAAAAGGTTTCTAACCACAACAGAAGTAGAAGAGTCTTCTGAGGCAAGTAATGGATAAAGATGAAGCTTGATCATTTTGCCAAAGAGATTATAAGACGTGACAGAAAAGGAGCAGAGCTGGCAGCCAAGGAGACCCTTTGTATCCTGCCTCTAAAAAGAACTCCATACGTTGCTGTTTCTGACGTCCTGATGGTGCACATCACATTGTCTCAGTGCCCCAGATCTGCCACAACCATCTTCTCGTTTTTACTGCAGTCATTTCATAGGGAAAAAAAGGATTTTCACATCTGCAAAAGATGTTTTGCTCATTTGTTATTATTTAGCTAGAGGTGATTTATAGGACAGCCAAATCAGAGGAGTTGACTTGTGTGCTGTAGATGAATACATATTCCAATGCCTCCATAATGAGGTGTGTTAATTCATAACCTCTTTCTGAATCATATAAATAAACTGTTGTCCTCAAAGCCATACAGAATTAAATTAATTAATGGGGAAATTAACCACAGCAGCGTAGCAGTTTCATTAACTGATAAGAAAGCCAGTCAAAAAGATTCAAATAAAATCAGTCCAACTGCCAACAAAGCACTAACCAAAAAATCACTTCAGGCCTGTATGTGCCATGTTATTTTATTTGTGCAAATAAAGAGCACTCTGGAAATGCTCCTTCTACCTCTCAGAGAAAAAAATAATGGGGTGCTTGACCATCACTTGCTTTGATGTTCTGTTCTTATGCTTTTATAGATTTAGATGATAATTTGGCCCATCAAGCAACCAGAGACCAAGAATCCAAGCAAGTGCAGACACATTCCTGAATAACACAAGAATAGATGTTTTGAGGTCTTTCTGGTATTTATGAACCCTCCAGTTTAAATCAGCTTGCATTAGTTTCAGATTGTAGATATGCAACACAATAACTGCAGATGCAACTAAATCACCATCCAATTGAAAGGAAATTTATTCAAGGCATCACCTACAGGGGTGTGGAGCAGAGGGCAACGCCAAGATAAACAGATGAGGTGAGATAAAATACCCCTGCTAGAAACCCTGTGGACAGATAAGAGCATTTCATTTTATATAAGGTATTTTCTGTTATTCCTGCTACTGGGTCACAGCTCCTGGTCAAGCCCAGTTGGCCTGGCAGGAGGTAAAGTTGGATCAGTGAGGAGAAGGGGACAAGTGCAGCTTGCCTTCAGGCTGGCTGCCTGCAGGGCAGGCTAAGGGACATCACTAGCACAGCCTTTCCTCTGAGCAGCTCTGTTTCCAGGAGAAATTGTTCACCTCAGTCCTTTTTTGTTGTGATTTAGAAGATCTATGTTCCAATGCTGTTCATCATGCTATGGGCAGAAAGGGGTAATAATAGGACAAGATTTTTCTAATACTTTCATCTTAAAGCAATGTTAAGTGAAGACTTTTCTGACTGTGAGAACACTGGACTGCACAACTGTACTACAGGTAAGAGTGCCAGGGCTCCACCTCCAGAAATACTAGTGAATAAAGATTACAGGCTAATCCTATATTGTAGAGAACTGGATTATGTGGACTAATAAGACTTGTCCATATCTACGTTCTGTAGCTTGTCAGAGATCACAGAGAGGATTCAATGATTTAGCCAGGATTAAAACTCAGGTAGAACTGGCTCCCAGACCTGTGCCAAGGCCTCTGACTGTGCTCAGTTGCTCCACTCTGGCAGGGCACATGGAGAGCTGCATCCTGTGGTCACTCCTCTTCATTTTAACCTTACAGCACCTGGCAGGGCCACAAAGTTCAAACTGGGCTTCCAGGTGTGACTCCCCAAGGCAGAAACCACAAGAAGCAAGTGGGGGACACGGATCTTCCACTGCCCTTTGTGCCACGGGATGCTGAAAACAGAAAGACCTATTTTTACACCTTGAGGACTGTGTCATGCATCTGTAGCTACTTTTTTTTCAGCAGAACAGCCTTCTCCTGCCTCCTCGACTCTGCCCTTGGCTTCGGAAGCAGTTCCATTTGTTATAATTCTGTGAATTCTTTTCTTTGAGCCCTCACCTTCAGCCTTCTCACAGCTTGCTTCCTGCACAGGCACAGCAGAGATGCCAGAGAGGGGCTGAGCCACCTGAGAGGACAAAGACCCGACCCCAGACGTGTTGGCTTGGACTAAAATTCCAAATACATGGAGAGAGACTTGTCAGACCTCGCCACAAAGACCCACAACAAACCCAGCCATTGACTGAACAGATCAGCTCTCTAACAGAACAGATTTTTTCATCTGGGGCTAATCTGCTGCTCATTTATAATCTCTGCCCAAATCTTTGTGAAGCCTGCAGGGATTTAGAGTCTTTGTGTGTTACAATGGGCTGGAGAAGAATTTCATGACAAATTTCTGGGCACGCCGTAAAGAACTTGGGGTGAACCCCAGAGAAATGATTTCACTTTTGACTTCACTGGTGCTGTCTATGCCTGACAGAACAGGTACCATGAGTACTCCTGCAGTGTAAGTCATCTGCTTTTTAAGAAAGCAGAGAGTGATCTCATTATGCACTGTGGCTATTAAGCACTGGCAGCAAGGCTCCCCCGAGGTCAGAACCCAGCCAAACAGCCAGCAGGGCAATGACATCAGCACCTCGTGCCCAGATTTTGCCTGCCTTGCTCAATAGGTGGGTGATGGTGTTTTGTTTAATTGTACTCAAACTACTGGGATTTGATCCAGGAAAACAAAAAACAACTCAAGAAAAAAGTAGCAGAGGGTAGTTCTTACCATCACCATACTAAGTCTTACTTGAAAGGCAAAATATATTCCCAAACAGCCAGCAGGGCAATGACATCAGCACCTCGTGCCCAGATTTTGCCTGCCTTGCTCAATAGGTGGGTGATGGTGTTTTGTTTAATTGTACTCAAACTACTGGGATTTGATCCAGGAAAACAAAAAAACAACACAAGAAAAAAGTAGCAGAGGGTAGTTCTTACCATCACCATGCTAAGTCTTACTTGAATTGAATATATTCAGATGGGCAGCATAGCAAGAGGCAAATGAACAAATTTGATTTTAAATGGGATTGCACATACCTGAAAAGTGGCATTTTCTGTGTTTACAAGACAGCTGAGTGCCTTGTAATGCTAATATATATTCACTCTCAAGAAGTTTTCCTGGGCATATAGTCATTGGAGGTCTTACTATGCCATGAAATGCAACTGCAGTAGCAGAAAAGACAGAAAGTACCTTAGGATGAAGAAAAACAACAAAAAAATCTCCTCCTAATTGAGTTAGTGACTGATTCTCTGTCCCCCTGAAACCCAGTCGTTAGCACTAAGAAGAACAAAACACCTACAGCACTAAAAGGAAAAATAGAAGATTTTTTAAAGCCAGAAAGCTACTATTAGATTGACAGATTAATTAACTTGGCTTAAGGCACCTCCCTTGACTGAGTCAATTTCTACTGCAGAAGTTCTGTCCTTTTCCCCAGTTTCCACAAGGTCTAAATGTATTTCTTATAAAGATGTCCTGTATACATCCTTGATTGTCCTTGATGCTTCTCTTGTCTTTCTCTTTGTGTTCAGACCTGCTCAATCTGCACTATTAATTCAGGCAAGCTTGAAGCTCTTTCCTCATGTCCATTTTCCTTCTTGCAGACCAAGCTGTTCCCTGCAAAAGTGCCCTCTCTGTGCCTGTTTCTGTCTTCCCTTTCTACCTCCTCTGCTTCTTAGTCTACTTGCTTGTCTTCCTCTCTTCTACTTGTACTCAACTGCAGTGACTGAAGACTGCAACAGCACTTTCTTTCCCTGGGAAACTATTTCCCAGAGTTTGTAGCTGGTCAAGCTCTAACAGGGATGAGATGACTTAAGTGCATTTAAGACTATTATATCATTACATGATGTCCTCCAGTCTGACCTTGTGCTCACCATTTTACAAATCATTAAGCCATTTCTTTCCTGAGCCTGCTGACACCTTAGGCAGAGGAAAGCAGTTCAGTTTTCAGGATGTATGCTCCAAGCAGGGGCAGAGGACAGAGATGCCACAAAGCCCAAGGCCTCTAAAATGGCAGTAGATTGACTAATGCTCCTACTTTATCCTATTAGTTATTCCTGTTTATCATGAACATATGGATGCTGGAATACCATCAAGGGACCCACACTGGAAATGAAGGGAAGGAGAAAGAACACTGTGATGGAGAGAGGAAATGCAGGGTCAGGTGAGGTCTGGAAGGGTTTGGTGGGTCAGCTGAAGTGCATGCAACTGTGAGCACACTGATCTGTGTCCTAAGCCTCTTGACAGCAACACACACAGACCCTGAGCCTCCAAGATTTGCCTCTCCTTGGCCAAGATAAGCTTGAGAGACAAACCCTTCCTCATGCTGCAGAGAGTCCAGTGTTTCTTTCAGTCTCCGTTGGGGCTGGGAGAGGAAAAGCAAAAGCTTTGCTCTGACTTCAGACCTTGTCATTATTTTGACTTCAGCAGCTCAGTCATACCCCCCCTTGCTGCCCATGTATCTAGGTCAGGGCAGTCTCTGCACTGGCTGAGTTCTGGCCAGTCTCCAGCACCCTGTAAGGCAGCACTGTCTCTGCTCCCTAAAACACATCCAGTCACTTGCACAGGATGGGAAAAATTCTCCCCTATTTCTGTGTTCAGCTATCTTGAGTGTGAGGTTTGACTGCAACCCTGCTTTCCATGGAGATATGTACATGTTTTAAAGCAGCTGAAGGAAATGAAGACACTTTTGTTCTCCCTGTGGCCCTGGATAAAAGGGGATGAAAAGATGAGTGCAGGAGTCTTACAGACACCTGTCTATAACACACTGAACAAACAGAGGGTTTCACCTATAAGCTTTTGATACTTTTTTCCTGTATTTGCCAGTGTCCCTGTAGGCATGTTCATGCTGCTTCTCACCTTTGGGTGTTTTGCACTGCAGAGGCCTAGCACAGGATGCCTTTATGCATGCAGCTGGCAGACATCTGCACCCCCAGGCTGACTTCTGGCACCTTCAAGGACCTATTCAATAGTAACATACTGATCTTGTACAGAAATGACTGCAGCTGACCCCTGACCATAGATATAAGGAGAAATTACTTTGTGGATCAACTGATGGAGAAATTACTGGGTCCACAAGCAATCTTTTCTCAGAACCAAAGCTTCAGGTAATATACCATGTCTCCTAAAGGTGATTATACTACTTCAGAACTCAAGATTACAGTTGCCTGGCATAAGTAAAAACATTTAGCAAATCAGCTAAAACAAATTCCAAAGACATTCTCCTGATTTAAAGAAGCTCTCTGTGTACTTTGTTCCCTCTGCTCACTGTCCCTGCTTCCCAAACATGCATGGCCAAGCCAGGCCCACCAGTTATTAATCCTCCCTGCTTCCCACGTTGCACTGCCAGGAGTGCAAGTCCATTAGCACTTAAGCTGTCTCTGTGTGGATTATGCCCAGAGGCAGCCAGGAATTTGGACAAGACCTGTGCAACTGGCAGGATATCCAGTATATGATATATTCTTAGCTACCTGATTTACATATTCCTCCCACTGCTCTGACAAGAGCTCCCCAGAGCTTCTGGGCACTGGTGAAGCAGTGCGGGTGTCTTCCCACAGGATGCAAACGTGCTCTTAAGGCTTGCTGCTGCTCAAGCCAACTGCAGCTCACCCTTTGCCTCAGCTGGTCTCTAGCTGCACCCTTGGAGCTAATTTGCCAGTGTGGAAAAGCTACTGCCACAAAGTAATTTTGAAGGGCTTCCCTGCCAATGAAGGAAGTTTCTGTGGTATTAAACAGACTTATCCTGTCCACGAATAACTTTATTTTCTCTTGTGCTGACTTTATCTAAGCCCCTTGGTAATTGCATTTGCAAAATGGGTTAAGAGCATGGATCAATCTGGCTGGCAAGAATTCAAGTCCCTGTAAGCACACCAAGAAAAACACAGAGGTCACATCTTGTTAGGCTAATCGTGGAGGTATTTTCAAACTTCAAACATGAAACGCTGCCTGTAATTTCACAGGGATGTTAATCTGCCACTTAGGGTATAATTAGTAATTGTAATCTGTAAAAAGGCACAGTACCCACATGAAATAACTAAGAATATCCTGATGATTACTAAGTACCACCTAACATGCAGGCTGAGAAATACTAGGCAGTCATTGTTTGGGTTCATACCTGTGAGAAGAAGTGAAAGTCATTATCAGTGCTGTGGAATTGATGTTACTGATAACAGCAGCATTCTGTGAGAAGTGAACAGGTAGTCCTCTTACCTTAAAAAGGTAGATACCATAATTGTTTTGAACTCAGAATGAGTTAAAAGAATATAAGGAGTCCACAGATCACTAAACCTAATACCCATGCCCCATCTTATAACCTCTTTTCCTTAACTGACCATCCTGTCTTGAATTAGGGTATCAACCCATTCACAGCTGCTGGGTGGCTGTTATGTAGTTGGTCATCAATATCTACAGCTGCCAACTTAAATCTGTTTATTGACTTTTTTGTGTTCCTGTGCCACAGTCTTTTCCTATCTGCCATTTACTTTCTGCTCTATTTTATGGGCACAGTCAGAGCTCCCTTCAGACTTATTTTGGCTAGGCTCAGGTGACCCTGTTCTTCCAGTTTCCACTTGTAAGACAGACTCCTCATTCCTCTGCATGGGGTAAGAGCCCTTCCTTGGACTTGCACCTCTCTGAAGTCACCTTTCTGGAGCCCAGGGCTGAAGACAGGTTTGGTCTGTGGGATCTTGTGAATGGCACAAGCACTTCCCACACTCCTTAGGGATTACTGACTCTGGCACACACCAGAGGCTGCACTTTTCTTTTCATGGCCATGTTGCACTGGTGGCTTGTAGTCATCTGAGTACACACAGGACACTCCTCCTTTAGTTACAGAGCTCCACTCCTGAATGTACAGGCTTCTTTATGTGTGTATGAATTGCCTCCTGAGCCCTACACATGTGCTGGTCAGTTGTGGCATGGAGTGTCTCCACGGGTGGCATCTGTGAAGTGGCATCGAGAGGTTTCACAGCCACCTGGATGTCACTCACCAGAGCACAGATTCCCCCTGTACCTGGATTTGCAGTCCCAGGAGCTACAGGCTCAGAGACACTGTGCTGCAAGGGGATGTACACACCTCTCTGCAGATGGAGAGGTCCATACAGTGGAAAGATGGCACCCACAAAGCCACTTCCACAGAAGCAGGGTGAGACATTTCGACCACCTTCAGGAATGCAATTCACTCTGAAAAAAGACCCTTCTTCAAAATCTGGCCAGTGGTCCCCACCACTAAACACCATTGCAGTGCAGGAATCCACATGAACCTGCCCTTGGACTGCCACAGACACCCCCTCTGCAGGGCAGGCAGCTGTTAAAAACTTGCTGCTTGTTATCCCCTCTATCTCCCTGGGATGTGGTGCAGTGAAGCAGAGCATGCTGACCTGTTGCCCAGATATGGTGCCTACAGATATCCTAAGAAATAAACTCTCTTTCAGCACTTGGTTACAAGCAGTTGTGATTAATTCAAAGAGCCTGTGGGAATGACTTTCTTAGGTGCATTTCTTTTCCTTCACCACCTCTCTCTCCATCCTGATAATCGCTGTGCAAAAGAGAGATGAAGTATGTCACCCTGTGATGCTAGAAAATAATGAGTACCACCAGGAATCCTGCTTGTCTTCCATAAAAACCTCATAGCTGAGAGCTGTTTTATAAAGCCCTGTCAGCTCTGTGCCTGTATTTCTTATAAAACTACACCCCTCAGCTATCATTCCTCCACTCGGGCTCATAATTCCTTCTCTTCTCATTCTTTTAAACAGCTACCTCATCTCACATCACTCTTTGCATAAGCTGAACTTGACTGATATCTGGGTAGTATCATCCACTGCTTTCCTGATTAGTTACACACAGTAAGGAGTTTCAAGTTCTTTCTTTAGTGGTGCTGTCCTGGCTCTTTCTCCTAGCTAAAAAAACCCAAACCTCCTTTTCTGGCTGCCCTCGCAGCTTAAGCTTTCCTGCACAAAACCAACAAATGTGCTTCTTTTTCCCTGGGCACTGAACTTACCTGCAAAAGGATCCTATTCCCATCGTGATCTTCTGTCTGCCACCTGCCCTCACTGATGGGGCTGCAAGGGTTGGGCAAGAGAGGCACAAGCTGCCCCACGTCTTTCACTCTGAACTCCAGCACCGCTGACTCCGTCGGCGTCGGCGCTTGGCCCTTTGGAAGTCTCTTTAAAGAAAACTGGATATCTATTTCCATGTTGGAATAGACAGGGAAAACACAAAAGTCTGTTTTTTTCTGACACACGGGTCTTTTCAGAACCAGCTCGTACAGTTTCAGGTTGTCAGCAAAGTTTTCACTCCTGCAGTAGATGGTGAAGCGGACAATCTCCTTCCCGTAGTGCACGGGGCGGATGGCCCACAGAGGAGTCTCTGGAGCCAGGGTGTAGAAGTCCTGGCTGCATGGCATGTAAGGGAGGAACCTCCCCTGCACCCTCTCGGTGTGGTGGTAACGCCAAGGTGCCCGTTGGAAGGTTTCGTGGAGCTGCAAGATGGGTTCTTCCCCATACTCCTCCTGCAGGAAGAGAACGACGGCAAGGGCTGGCTGGGAGACACCAGCTCTCCCTGGCTTCCTCCCCTTCCTGGGCACCCGTCTTTCTGAGACCCTGAAGAGCTGGAGGTCTGGGTGGATCCAGGCTAGGAGCTTGTTGATGGCTTGCTGAAGGGTCTGGGATTCCCCTGGGTCTGTGATAATATGCACACTAACAAGGAATGGGTCTTGTATGCCTTCCACAGAAAGCTCACCTGGGAGTAGAAAGAGAAAAACGTCCTTTAAGGTTTGTAACCCAGTTGGCAACATTTAGGTGATACTTCAAGGAGTCTGCTCAGTCACCCTGGGCTTTTTTAATCCATCTGTTTCAAGCTCACCTGCAGTAAACTGAGAATAATGTACTATAATGTACTGAATGTAATATAGCAACCAAGAAAATAATCAGAAGACAAGAGAAATCCCATCAAGCATCCCGTAAGAGTTGCTGTTTCTACTGAGGTGGCATCCAAAAGACATTACCCCTCTGTGTTAGAAAAGAGCTGCCCCATACAGCTGAGAGGTAAGAGAGACAAAAATACTGATGTAGAGTGGGGGTGAAAGGGCCACTAACGATGTGCAGAGTGATCAGGGTGGACAGTGTTCATCCCACCTTGTTTTAATTTGTGCCAGTTGGCTCGGGGCGTGGAAATCACAGCACTGAACTCCACTCTATCACCTTGACACTGCAGTTTTCCACCCAGTTAAGAGGGTTCTGTGTCCTGGAGGCAAATGTTTTAATAAGTAAGGCAAAGTTTGGAGGGAGAGGTAATATCTTTTATTAGACCAACTGATACAGTTGGGAAAAAAACCCAGACAAGCCTTCAGGCACACAAGTCCTTCTTCAGGAAAAGATATTACTTGTCCCTACAAATCCTGCACTGTTTATATCTTCAGACCATCAAGTCTATAATACTACTGCTTCAATGTTTTTATAAGATTAGGGAAGACTTGTGAAAGCAGGAAGCACAAAAAAATTACACTTAGGGGAAAAAAGAAACGTCTAGTTAGGGTTGGGAGTGTTCACAGGAGCTTTAACTGTTGTCCCTGAAACCTCTTTGATGGCTCAGAAGCAGAGCAATGGCTGGTTGGAGGGCAGGGAGACACTGTCACTTCTCTTCTGCTGGAGCTGCATGCCAATGAAGTTGCCTGTGAATGGAGATCCAAGGCAGTTTAATAAATTACCCAGGTAATCTGGGTGTTTTTGCTGAAATGGTTCCCCCTGAGTGGTGTTCTGAAACACGTCTGAGATCCCAAGCCTGGGCACAAAGCCTAAATGAGAGAAAGGCTTCCCAAGCTTTTCACTGTGCAGACCACATTTAATAGGGGGATTGTCTCACATGCTGTTTCCCCTCCTATTGGCAATCAGTTAAAAACCTTTCCCCCCCCTCTCCTGGCATCAGAATAACATTCCTGTGATACTTCAGCCATTGCTTTAATGGAAAAGCAGTATTATACAAGCAGTGTGTTTTACTTGTCTCTCAATACAGAGTAGCTGCAAGACCCAGAGGAAAGCTAGATTCATCTGCATGGCTTTCCAGGGGTGACTGGTAAACATCACCCAGGCTCAGTTTGGAAGCTGCAGAAAGACATGATATGCAGAACAAATAGCAAGCATGTATTTTGCCTAGGGCAGCTATGGAAAGATCAATTAAATAATCAAAAATATAATTACAGCGGAGTTCTCGTATCTCCGCACGGAATGGGTGATGTGGAGTGACTCTGTCAAATGATTAATGGGAGAAAAAAATGGAATAAAAAAGAAATCTGTGTCAGTGTATGGCAAGAGGCTTTGCTGGGGCAGTTGTCACTGGTAGGTGATTCTTTGAGATATTCCCTATGGATACCCACAGGGCAGGAGAAAGACAAAGGGGGTGTGAGGGGAGGTCCTCTCATGGTCCTTTACACGGGGCAGCAGGACAGGAAGGAAAACAAATTGCAGAGGACAGTGAGCTAATAAAACCAGAAAGAAAGTAATCACTGTAGCTACACAGTCATTCATTTTCTGAGACTGGAATAGATGCTCAGCTCTTTTCTCCCTCCCTTTCCTTTGTTACACAAATACTATCAAAGCCTGCAACAAGTGACAGCCTTGATATTTATGCATAGAAATGACTGCAGCTCTGAAAGAAGACTGGGCACAACAATGGGAAGCCAAGAGCTTCATTCCTGTTGGCTTCCAGCTCTGCACTGAGAAAAAACAAGATCCTGAGCATGGCTTTCCTGCCCTCCTGGTGCTCAGCATGGTGCACGGCCACTGAATGCCTAAAACATCTTTCCAAAGTGGGAGGCAGCCCCAGCATTAGTATTCTGCAGCCACCACAGCCTGTGCCCATCAGCAGCAGATGCTGGCAGAGCCAGCCTCAGAAGACCACCAAAGCATGGCACGAAGCCATCATTAGGAGCTAGTTATATGTACAGCAGAGCAAACAATCTGGTTTTTTTTTGAGCTAGAAGCAACTATGCTGAAGGGGGAAACGTGTAACAAACAAATCAGTGCAGACAGAGCTGCAGTTTCTCTTTTCCATCAGCAATGCTGTTTTTCCTGCCACGCTTTTACACCTTTCCTTATGTGCTTATAAAACGACAGCCCTTTCTGTTTTGGGATGAGAAAAAGAAACATAAGCAAAGCATAAACAGGAGGCAAGGAGCTAAGAGAAACTTCCTGAGAACTGCTAAGTTGCCAATCGTTTCTATGTGATTAAAAAGTCTTCCTGCTTCAGCTGTCAAGGCAGAGGGGGAAACGACACCATTTCTCATAACACAGTTCAGTTTGCCCCCCTGGCAGATTGCCACAGAGGCAAATGAAAGCTCTGCATATGTATCAGCCTTCCTGTGTGACTAGTTAATCCCACAGAAAACATAAAAATGCTGAGGCATCTGGTTGACAATCAGCTCCACGGCTCTCGCAGCTATTACAGTGTTTCCCTCTCCTGTGGCACAGGGGGATTAGTTCTCTTTGGGTCACCAGAGCACTAACATTGCTAAGAGGTAATTATTACCAGCATGGAAAGAGTATTTTTGCAGTTCCAAACTTTTTACTCCTCTGTTAGGTAGTATGAAGCACCCACGAGAGGTTAAAGCAGTCAGCCAGCCCAAATACTGCCACACTTGATGTCCTAAAGCTGGGAGCTGAAGGCAGCCTGGTATTTTATGATTGAGTTCCCTACACATTCTTGTTTTGTTGCTGATGCAATATTGTTGAGTAGGGAAAAAAGAAAGCCCTGCAAAGCAGAATGGCAGGCTTGCCTTGCCCTGGGGTTCTTCCTCCCCTCCCTTCCC